CTCTCTCTCTCTCTCTCTCTCTCTCTCTCTCTCTCTCTCTCTCTCTCTCTCTCTCTCTCTCTCTCTTAATAATTACTAAATAATATTTATAAATATAAAAACATCTAAAAAATTGGTATAGTCAAATTCATTATAGTGTTTTGGGTTAAAAAATACAAAATTAAGAAATAAATAACATTTGTGAATAAAATATAATGTATAAATTGCTAAAAACCCTCCTAGAGTATTTTTGTCATTTCACCCTTTTAATAGATTTTTTTTGAATTTCATTAGGATTTGGATGAAATTGTAAGAATAATGTGAAATTGGAGCTTAATAAACTATATATGTAAAAAGCGGGGTTGAAGTGTATTGTCACGTGCTCCACAGGTGTTTTTTCCATCCAAAGTAACTCTAAAATTAAACGGTGGACTGAAAGTAAAGAAAAAAATAGTTTATTTGAGGACTAAAATTGTGGCAAAAAGAATATAAGCACTAAAATGAATTTTGGTGTACAATATAGGGACCAAAAATGTAATTATTCCGACATTGATGAAAATCTTGATATTTTTACAAAACTTGTTAAGGATATCAAATTGACTTGAGATAAAAGCATTGATGAGTATACTCCTATTTTTCAACAAAATCTTTTAAGTTTGGATATGGGGCAAAGTGCAACATAATATATTTTGTAGGGGGGGCCGTCTCTTTTTTTAATTTGTAGTGGTGAAAGTGAATTTTTTTAAAAGTTTTAGGGTGCGAAGTGAATTTGTCCATATATATATATATATATGGCTTAATCCCGTTTTGCATCCTTAAAATATACCATTTTGACACTTTGCACTCTTGAAAAATAATAATAGCACTTTGCACCCTCAAAACACAATAAATTATCCATAATGCACCCTGAATTGAATAATAAAGTAAAATTCATTTTTCATTGGTGTTTTTTTTGGGTGCAAAACATAAAATAAATTGTTATATTCTTGAACTTCCAACCTAATTTCGAGTGGACAAAGTGCGAAAAAATAAAATTACACCAGATTATTTAAAAAAAAAACTATATTTTCTTAACAAAAAAAAAAAACTTTTATCACTAAATATTCGATTGATGGATCTTTTATGGTGACTGGTTGAAAATAGGAGGTGAAAATATTTGGAAGAAAATATGGTTTTCAGATAACTTGATAACGGAATAGTTGAATGAATTTTTTCGTAAAATATTTTATTTTAATAAAAAAAATATAATTTTGAAATATGTTGATATATGAAATGTATTTTTATTTTTGCACTTTATAGTTTCAAAATGATTGATGAATAAAAAAATATTTGACACTAAACATCCTAAAAAAATATTAGTAAAAATATTAAATTGCATTTGTTAACTTTAAAAAAAATTATTTTGAACTAAATTCAATTGACTTTTAAAGACTTTTGCCTACACCTAAATTTCATTCTTAATTAGTGAAACCCCCTAGACTAGTGTGAGAAGACAAGCATAACCTCAACTGCTATAACCCTAATTATTTGCCCACCTCTACCACTTTCATCTTCTCTCTTCTTCACATCTCCACCTAAATCCCTCAACTTTCCAAAAATTCCAACATTCCTCCACCTCCACTACCGCCGCCGCCGCGCCACCACCGCCGCTGCTTCCTCTTTCGTCTCCACCTAAACAATCTCTTTCTCCCGTGTTCTCTCTCGATTTTTCTCTTTACACCATCGTCTCCACATTGATCTGTACACCACCACCACCGTCGCCGCTCGTTGCCGCCACCACCGCCTCCTTCGTTCCATGTAAGGCTCTTTCTCTCTTTTTCGTTATCTTCGATTTCTCAAAAAAAAAAAAAAAAAAAAAAGAATTCTGATATGCTCACCACCGCCACCGTCGCCGCCTCTTTCACTCTCTCTTACGTTCACCACCGCCGCCACCGCCATTGTCGTCGACTCCCCTCCCTCTCGTTCTTTATTTTTTCTATCGTTTTATGTATTTTTTGATTTTGAGTTTTATTTTTTCTCCAGATCTGAAAATACAGTTTCAGATCTGAACAGCAGCAGCGACATGACTATAGTCATATTCAAATATTCGAATATGACTGTAGTCATATACGAATATGACTATTGTTGAATATGATTGTAGTCATATTCGAATATGTTCTATCTTCTCGTTTGAAGTGGACTTGTACTAACAAGATTCAAATTGTAATTTTTTGTGTGGATGTTGATTGTATTGTTTTTGTAAGCAATAGGGAATCTTCGTTGTTTTATATAATTTGGTAAACATGACTGTACTACAGTATATAATCGGAATTTTTAAGCTGAAAATGTAAAAAAATTGCAATATAAAGAAAGAATATGATACAGTTAATATAGGCACATGTAGTCATATTCAACTATAGTCATATCCGGCGTCGTAAACCTGTCGAGAAAAAAAATCAATTTTTTGTTTTAAAAAAATTGAAAAAATATTTTTTTATTAAATAAATAGTAAAAAATAAAAAATAATAATGAAAATGCTAAATAAAGTCCGAAAAAAAAAATCAATTTGTTTTTGGGTTTATCTCAAAAAGGTCCATCACAAGGGCACTTAATTAAAAAAGGGACATCCAAATTTTTTGTGTTTCAAATATTTCCAGTTCATTCAAACTTATTTGCAAATAAGGAAAACCCTTTTATATATACCAAAATTACCCCAATCCCTTGAAACCCAATTCAACTCAAATTTCATGATTTACACCTCAATTTAGCCCAATTTCAGCAATTAACCAATTTTGACCCCAATCTTGACCGGCCACCACCACAGACCGTCGGTCTCCGGCGTTGACTTTTTTTTTTTGAAAACTTTTTTTTTCTGAAATTTTTTTCCGATAGGTCAACCGCCGTTGACATTTTTTTTTCAATTTTTTTTTTCTTAAAAATAATATTTTAATTACTGTTACTGACTTGGCTGCTAAATTACTGTTTCCAACAGTTATTTAACTGTCGGAGATAGTAATTTAACTGTTAATTGACCTTTTTTTTTCTTAATTTTTTTAATTAATATTACTGTCTTGGATGCTAAATTACTGTTTCCAGCAGTTATTTCACTGTCGGAGACAATAAATTAACTGTTAATTGACCTTTTGTTTTTTTTGAAATTCTGTTTTCTCTTAAGAAAAATTATTTTAATTAATATTACTGTCTTGGCTGTTAAATTACTGTCTCCAACAGTAATATTAATGTATTAATCAATTTTATCGTCTTGACCTGCAATTTTTTTTTCTTCGACTGTAATATTACTGTCTCCGACCGTAATATTACTATCTCATGCAATAATATTACTGTTTGGGACAGCAATATTAGTAATATTACTATTCGGGAAAATAATATTCATAATGTTACTGTCCCAAACAGTAATATTACTGTATGAGACAGTAATTTAACAGCCAAAACAGTAATATTAATTAAAATATTGTTTTCTAAGAAAAAAAAATTTCAAAAAAATAAAAATAAAAAATAGCTAGAAAAAAATTTCAGAAAAATAAGAGTTTTCAAAAAGAAAAAAAACTTCAACGCCGGAGAACCGCCCGGTCAACACCGGAATCTGGCAGGAAATAAAAGTTTAGAAAAAAAATATATTTTTTCAAAAAAATATTAAAATGGGGGTTAATGTGATATATTTGTTTAAATTCGGGGTCAATATGTAATATTAAGGAAGTTAGAGTATGATGGATGGAATTGATAAAAAAATATATTATGGAGGATATTTCACAATGTTATCGGAACCGGAGCAGACCGGCCGGTCATACCGGTTCGACCGAGACCCAACAATTAGGCGGTCCGGTTTGAACTCCAAACTCGGAGAAATTAAAAACCGGGGTCAAAATGAACGAAACCCGGAAACTGGCGAACCGGTTAATGACCCCGGTTTTTATCAAAAAAAGTATATGGTGGATGGATCACGGCCGTAAAGGCTGTTATGTGGGCGGATCTGGGCGGCGGTGGGTTGAATCCGGTGGTCAGAGGCTGGAGGTGGACGGATCTCGATTGAAAAGACTATATTAGGTGGGCGAATCTGGGCGGTGGTGAGCTGAATTCAGTGGTCGGAGGCCGAAATGGAGAAAGAAAGGAGAAAAAAAGAAGAGAAAAGAAGAGAAGGAAGGTTTTTAGATTTACAGAGGAGAGAGAAAGGAAGAGGAGAGAGAGAGAGGGGCTGCTGCGTGAAGGAGAAAGGAAAAAGAAAGTGGGAAGAGAGAGAAAGAGACATGTCAAATGAGAGATATAAAAAATGTTAATAAAAATATAAATAAAACAAAATGAAGTGAGATATATGTCATATGATATTAAAATGGAAAAGACATGTAAAATATATAAAAGATATATAGGAATACTGTATTTTTAAAGTTTAAAATTAATACAATAATTAAAAAAATTAATAAATTAAAAAAATTAAAAAACCTGGGTCGAACCCGGTTGAACCGGTCCAACCGTGACCCGAAAATCTATCCGATTTTTTGTCCGGTTCGGTTCTGATAACATTGATATTTCAGACTAGACTAAAGACATGAGGATGAATTTATTTGAAAGACTATTTTTTTTTGTGGACCAATGTGCATTTAAATCCCCTGTCATGTCCATTTTTGCCATTTCCCCTTTTTTTTTTTTATTTGGTAGTAAATGTTTGGAATTTGGAAGCACATTTTTAGGAATTTGATAACTGTTATAGAAATAGAGAAAAAAAGAATATTTGAAACAAATTATGGTAATTAAGATAAGGGTAGTATTGAAAATAAAATTTCTAAAAAGTTAGCACAAAGAAAAATTTAAGAGGTGGATATATTACTATTTCTTAACTATATATATAAACTCAATTTCTTCACTAATGAGCCCAAAATATAAAGTCAAGGCCCATGGAAAGAACAAGTATGTTCTAGAAGATGTTTGAATTGTACAGAAATTTTAATTTTACCGAAATCTGTTTTGCTCTCAAAATTTCAGGAATGTGCAAGAATCGTCTGATCACCCATATAAATACGCGAGCTCCTTAAACCAAATTCCCATCGAAAATAAGAAACGAAATATCAAGAAGTTCATCTTACAGTATTATTTTTTGCATAAAATGTCTCTGATACCAAGCTTCTTTGGCAACCGCCGGAGCAACGCGTTCGATCCATTTTCATTGGATGTTTGGGATCCATTTCAGGGCTTCCCATTCTCCTCCGCCGGAGAAACAACCGCCGTGGCCAATGCTCGGATCGATTGGAAAGAGACGCCGGAGGCACACTTGTTTAAAGTGGATGTTCCTGGATTGAAGAAAGAGGAAGTGAAGGTTGAGGTTGAAGACGGGAATATTCTTCAGATCAGCGGAGAGAGAAGCAAGGAGAAAGAGGAGAAGAACGACAAGTGGCACCGCATCGAGAGGAGCTCTGGCAAGTTCATCCGCAGATTCAGGCTGCCGGAGAATGCAAAATTGGAGGAGGTGAAGGCGGCTATGGAGAATGGGGTGCTGACTGTGACTGTGCTAAAAGAGGAGGTGAAAAAACCTGAGGTCAAGGCCATTGACATCTCTGGTTAACTTTGAATTTTTTTGTGCAGCAAGTTCTGGATGTAATGAATAAAGTTGTTTTGATGCCAAGTGGAATATCAATATGTATAATAAGTTTTAAATAAGAAATTACGGTTGTCTTTTACATTAATTCATTTTATAGTTTATCATTTGATTGTTATCTCATTTATTCTCCGTGCTATTCACGTTTTAATTACAATGTTTGAGAAGACCGGAAATCGTATAAACACTAAACAATCACAAGGATTTAGCGGAACGGTTACAACGTACCATTCCAGTTGCAAACATTGAAATGAAAACCTAACTTTCAACTCATCACTAGAAAATATATGGAAAGTTAAACCCGCATCAAGAGATAAGAGTATGAAAATATGTAAAATTTCTCAATGGAACTGCATCGGCTAAATAATAATGCATCTATATCATCAATTTCGGTCTTATAATTCAGACAAAATGACAAACTATTATGCATGAGAAATGTGAATTAATGTAGCACAACTCATTATATCAAACTATTTTGAAGAACAAATTAAAATTTCTATAATTAGTATGTAACTTACCATAAGTTGACCCGACAACCTCGAAACAATCAATAAGATCACATAACTTATATTTATTAGAGATTGCACAACTTCAGACTCTCTATCAGTTGGAACAGCCGTGCATTATCTCCTCTCCTCAAAATTCTCAAACCCCAACAACTTGAAACTTATCATTCCTTATTTTTAATCTACAAATAATTATCTTTGATTATCTGTACTTGTGTATATATATGTCTACACAATGTAATCACAGAAGCATCAATAAAACATTAATTCCTCTCAATTATGTTACTTTACATGGTAATCAGAGCCCTTCTCTCACGAGATTTCTGATCCAATTTTTTTTCTCGTTTCTCTCGGCTTCATCCGATGACTTCTGGTTCTTCTACTCCCACCATTTCACCCTCCTCTTCTCCGCTTGTTACTATCAATGTTGTTGCCCAATTGCCTCTAAAACTCACCTCCCACAATTACTTCTCTTGGAAAGCTCAATTCACAGCCCTATTTTATGGTCTTGACCTTCTTGGCTATTTGGATGGATCTAATCCATGTCGCTCGTCTACTACCACTGCAAATGGTGTCCAAAATCCTAACCCAGACCATAATATTTGACGCCGTCAAGATCAATTGATACTTCATGCCATACTTGCCTCTCTTAGTGAGGCCGTTATTCCACTTGTCTCCTCTTCCAACACAAGTAAGGAGGCTTGGACTCGCATGAACCGTCTATACGCCAAGCGTTCAACATCTCATATTATTCATCTCAAAGACAAACTATCATCTATTACTCGTGGCACCTCCTCTGTAACAGGCTTCCTCCTCTCCGTCAAGTAGATCGCCGACGAACTATCCGTCCTTGGTGATTCCCCGAGTGATGCCGATTTGCTGGTCTACACAACCCGTGGGCTTGGATCTGCCTACAAAGAATTGATAACAGCCTTAAGGACTCGAGACTCGGTGGTTCCATTTGAGGAACTTTTTGATAAAATCATTGGTTCTATACTCACTTGACACGGGCGTAAAGATTAAAAATAATCAAGCGTGGGTATTTGTATTTTGACATTCCTTATTGCATATTTTTCCTGTTTCTTTAACATCTTGTTTGGTACTACTATCCGGTATCTTTCTTTGTACTCGTATCCCACTTTGCCGCGTGCTTCAGTGGTACAATTTTTCAATTTTAGCTCTTATACAATTGTAAAACATCGCTCAGGTACTGATATGAACCACGCCAACATGTAACGAAATCCAATAACAATATATGGTTTTGGAATCCCAAGACTCCCCAAAAAAATAAGTTTGTCGAACCTTGAACCAATGATTAGTAAATCACGAACCAAAGTTACAATGGATACAAAGACGCCACACCAATAATTCAACATGAATTCAAGAATCTTGACGATAAGTTTGATTGTTTGAACGCCACAAGATAACTTGATAAGTTCAAAAGCTCTTTCAAGATAGAAAGAATAATACTAATATCTCACAAAAAATGATACGAACCACGCCAACCTCATGACGAGACCCGATATCAGTACTTCGAATTTCAAATTCTGGACCATCCAAAGAAGGATTCAAAGAGGTGGAACCTCGAACGATTGCTTGCCTACAAAGAGGCAAGAACCTTGGTATGCGAAGACGCCACACTCAATTGCAGAAGATTGATTGATAAGTCGGGGGCGAACGCCACGAAGAACAACTCCGATAAGTTCATAACGCCACGGAGAACAACTCCGATAAGTTCATTTGAAAATAATGTGATACGGAACTGTTGGTGTAATCCTTGTTTTCATGTATATTATGGTTACTTGAAAAAGTCAATAAATAATATCTGTATGTTGCATGTGATATTAGACAAAGTCATTTCCTATTTCCTTAATCTTAGGCCAGTAGTTGCATTTTAGTTAATTGCACCAAAAGGCGAAATCCTTCGCCCCCAGAGCCCCCATCCCTTGGCTCGACAAGGATTGATGGAGGAATGTAAATCATGGTAACTCAACGGCCCGTTAAGGTAGCGGACCCGGACCTGGTGCCCACAAGGAACCAACCCTCATTGGAGTTGAAATTCCACATTACGGCTGCCAGGATTCGATCCTAGGACCTTGCACCAACTTACCACCTCCAGAACCAGTTGTGCTACACCCATGCGGGCGCATTTTAGTTAATTTTGTTCATGTATATATTCACCACTCAGAAGTTGATACGATCCGCACAAGCTCCAAGACAAAGAATTGGAAGAAGAGAAAGCGAGTGATATTAATGGAGCCGTTCGTGTTGGGATTGAAGAATAAAGGCTTGAATCAAGCCTTTGAGGAGTCCGTGGTTTGGAATTGGAAGAAAAGAAAGAGAATAATTCGTTGGACAAGTCGAATTCCATGCATCCGAGATTCTCGCCTATTCTGGCAGAGTTTACCATTCGAGTTATAACTCTCGCATCTGAAGTCCATTTAAGCTGATTCAAAATGATTCGAAAAGATAACTGAAAGATCTACAACTTTCATGTTTTGAGCGAAGAGATATTCGAAGTGGAACAATGTCGAAATTGAGCTTTAATTGCATGCACGTGCACAGCCCAATGTCGCGAGTTAAGAAGGGTGATCGAGAAGTCGACTTGAAGATCAAGTTATCTAATTTATTTATGCACGTTTTTAATTTAGTATTTATTATGTTTTTATTATTTTAGAGTCTTTTATGGTTAGGATATGCTTATTTACAAGTTATCTTATTATAGTTTAGGTAGGAGTCATTTTCCTCGTGAAAAAAGGAGTCTTTTTAGACCTTATAAATAGGTTGCCAATTTGGTATTTTATAGGACGAATTTTGATGATTTAATTGAGAATATTCTCTTTGGTTCTTTAAGAACTCTTCGAACATATCGGTGGATTCCGTTTGTTCACTCCGACTTATCAATCGATCTTTCACAATCGATTGTGGCGTCTTCACATACCAAGGTTCTTGCCTCTTTATAGGCAACGGGTCGCGGTTCCACCCTTTGAATCTTTGTTTTTGGATATTTTCGATCTTGCTTCCGCGTAAGGTATTAGGGTCTCGGAACGAGTTCTACGGGGTTCGTATCAGTTGGTAACAAGAGCCAACATCCAAAACAGGTTTCACCTATCTTTATCTTTATTTTTGAGTCAGTCTTGTTCGTGTCATCGTAGTTTTCTTTTGTCTTTTGTTGAGTCTTCTAGTCCTCTTTTCTCTTATTCTTCGTTCAGTTGTTTAGAGTTAAAAATAAAAATAAATCGAATTCTTGGTTATTTGTTTTGAGTTTCTTTGAGTCTAAGTCAGGTTTTGTCTAAAGTCCAAAAAAAAAAAAAAAAAAATCGAAATTTATCTTTTATTTGTAGTTTGTTAGAGCCCAAGTTAGGTATTGTTAGTGTCGTTACAAATAAAAAAGAAAAAAAAAATAGCTTTGATCATGTCCGAGAAGATCGGTTATAAAGAAGAAAGAATTGAGCAGCGTAGGATGTCGTCAATGGCAAAACGATTCCAGGAACTCCAAGATCGGATGGAAGGAATTGTTACCCAACTTAAGGAACTAAACAAAGATCAACATGTTCGAGGGCCATACCTACGACGTGATGTTCACCAACCGGTTCAACCTCATCGTGATAAGGAGGTTTATGGTGATGTAAGATATGGTGTGACTGCAGCAACACCAAGAGATGTTTATTTGCGGCGAGGGGCTCAGTTCGATCGACCAAGACGAGGTCATTCTGATTATTAGGAGCGAGAGTTAAAAGAAAGGAGATCGCCGAGTCGAAAATCACGGTGGAGCTCTTCATCAAACCGAGATAGGGAATCAATACCGAGAGAGGCCACATTCGATCCTCCATATGAGACTAAATAAAGAGGTTATTATTCTTCTCAATCTCGTTCAATTCATGATACTAAATGTTTTTGGTGTTTGGGTTTTGGTCATGTCGCTTCAGATTGTTTGGATAAGCCATTCATGAATTTGCGGTCGGACTACGAGGAATTGAAGAGAAAGGGTGATTCTTTATCGTCACTTGAAAAGGAAGATACTCGTCAAGCTTTTGAGAATCAGAACATTGTAGGCGATTCAGCAAGTGATAAACCGCTGCTTGAGGAAAAGTTAAGTGAGAATGTTGAGGTCGAGTCCAAGGGGGAAGAAAATTGCAAACCCGCGCTACCACTTGAAGAAAAAGAAGGTTCGGATTCGAGGACGAATCCTTTTGAAGAGGTGGAGAATGATATGATCCAGCCATGCATCGAGGTTAATGCCGAGCTGACCAAAGTGAAGACTCTCACTGTGAATGTTGATGATATTGCGGTGCCTAGAGAGATGCTTCAATCATTCTCTATACATAGGGCATTGGAACTTCAAGCTACAAAATACTCGCGTTCATATCCACTTCAATGGATGCTAGATAGTGTGTTTGGTGATGTGGTGCAGAGATGTGTAAGTTCGCTACCAAACAGAGAGATCGATCTTGTTTATACTCCTTGTGATATTTGTCCGGATTCGAGGACGAATCCTTTTGAAGAGGGGGAGAATGATACGATTCGCACAAGCTCCAAGACAAAGAATTGGAAGAAGAGAAAGCGAGTGATATTAATGGAGCCGTTCGTGTTGGGATTGAAGAATAAAGGCTTGAAT